TGTGATTGAGGTATCTTTTTGTTATAAGTTTCTACATTGATTCTGAATGTTGCTTCTTTGCTGCAATAGGGTTGCTTTGGAAGACAAATATAAAAAAAATCAGTTTTTTATCGTTCTTTGTTTGTCCATCTTTATTGATTAGACATATGAAATGAGCTTTAGCGGCCATATCAAATTGAAACATTCATAAATGTTTTAATAGTGATGATATCATAACAATCTATAATTATTTGAAAGTTGATATTTTTGCAAAAGTATGAGCAGTAACTATGTCATTTAACTTACCATTCTCCTAGTTGGATATTTCTTAAGATTTTCACATAGTTGAGCTAATGTTTTGCCGGTTCCCCAAAGTTCATATAGAGATCTATTATATTAATGATAAATACTAATATTAATTATATTCATTTTGAAATCACAAGTGAATCCTGCAATCTGATTGGTTCTTAGCACTAGGTTGATTTCAGCCTAAATCACACCATTTTGAACTCTTAATCACACAAAGCAAATATTGTATTTGTACGAATTAATAAAAGTATATGCTGTACAATGTGTTAGATTTCAAAATGGATAGAATTAAGTGGTAATTGAACTGAGTGGAGTGCAATTTTGATTCGAAATCAAACCTTGTGATTACAAATCACACTCCCGCTACGCGGTAAAATTGTTGTGTTATATTGTACAATTGTTAATAATGATGTTTAAGGTTAGATTTCATGAATCGAGACAAAGTATGCAGCCTCATATTAGCTGGGGGTGAAACCAATGGACCTACGAAGCTTTTACATCATTACTTGATTTACAATGCATTGTGGGGTCAGTTTCTAGAGAAAGCAAAAGAAATCCATCATGTTTTGTCCCAAACATATCCTACAATGCATTGTGTATGCAGTACATGACATAAAAGAGGTCTATTGAGGGTACATGACATGCATAAGGTTATGGCTGCAGATTCTGGCAAAATAATAAGAAATACGTAGTACTTACTTGATAGATAAAGATCTTGAAAGTATTTTTTGAGCATCATCTTCAAGTGGAAGGACTATTTCAAGAAAAGGACTCTAAAAATGATAAAATATTTTGGGAGAACATCAGTCCCATACCCCTATATACCCTCATTCACCACAGGAAGCCCAATCTCAAAGATCGAAGGAATACATAAGACTTTGTATAGGGAATATTGAATTATTTGATATATGAGAAATAGAGAAAATAAATCAAATCCTTCGTGGATTTTTTCTTGTCCTCTGGCGGTTTTTTTTTTTTTTTCGGCTGTGGTTTGAGAAGACCTCAGCTAAAAGTCAGCAAATCAGACATTTAAGTCAGCTTAAACCTACTGCCAGAGAACAAGAAAGTTCAATATAACCTTTCAATATCTACGTTACCTCATTGATATAACCACTTTTACAGACCAAATCAATCCCAAATAACGAAGCAATAGAATGGAGCTCCTAGAAATCACAAACCATCAAAAACCCCACTTAAYAACGCAGGWCAAAATACTGTATTGGACACAGAGAAGCTTCAATATTAAAGAAAGTATGTCAAATTACCGGAACTCTAAAATCGACGTGTTCTTGAGCAAAAAGAACTAAAAATGTAGAAGTTTCTTCATTTTCGTCCGCCATTATTTTTTTTCATGAGCAAATCCGCTGGTCCTTGCACAGGTAGCCCACAAGAGTAAGGGAAAGTGGCGGAAGGTAATCAAAGTTTCCAAAAAATAAAATTTGAATTATATAATGAAATTACGAGAAATTATAATTAAAATTAGAAAAAAAAATCAATAAAAATAGATAAAAGCAAATAAAGAATACCAATAAAAAGAAGTCAAGGATTTGTTGCATGTGCATGTCAGGATTCGAACCTGCTATCTCTACACCACCATTGGATTTGAATCCAAAGCTATAACGAGTTGCACCACAGGACCACGCTCATTTACATAATAATAGACCACTTGACACTTTCGCCGAATAGACTACCCCAATTTGACATTATAATTTCGATAGTTGCCTAGTTAGTGCAAGGGGTTATCCATCAGTGTCTAGGGGCCGGATAGCTTCTCCCTCACTGGCTTTTTAGTTAGCGCGAAGTTAGGACCAATTATCGGGATAGCATGGAAGAGCCGAAATCTCTAACCGGAATGTAAATCGATTCGCCGCCTCAGCTTCACAGAATGTCTCGGGGGAATCGTCCCAACCTTTTTCAAATTTTGAAGCACCGGTTCGAATCCTAAAAGGATTTTTTTCAATTTCTCCTTTTTCTTTGTTTCTTTTTTTTACCTCTTTCTTCTTTTTTCTTTTCGTTTTGTTTTATATTAATTTGATCGTCGTCATTGCCTAATTATTTTCATGATTGACAATTCTTTATGACTTTTTTCTTTAGTCTTCCAATTATTTCTTTTTAAATGTTATCCTTTTTTACCGAACAACTCCTATTTGCACACTATGAAGTTTTTATTCTCGAAACCAAATCAAAGCTAAAAACATCTCGAAAATACTCCCAAAACACTTAAGTGAATTTCAAGAACGTTATGCACCTGTCTTGAACCAACGGGGGGAGTGCGGGCATACCTAGGAGCTATTGACATTTTCCATATTTTTTTGTCAATAGTCCCCATTTTGGGGGGTATTTATGTTCATGCCAATATTTGTCAAATACCCCCCATGTTGCAGTGGCGGATCCAGGATTTTTCAAAGGGAGTTCCACTTTGTTTTCGCATTTTCCTAAAACGAACTTTTTTTACTTTGCCTCTCGAACTGTATCAAATGTAACGTGAATGTAGTTATAGATAGCGCATACATTGCAGCGTGGTAAAAGTGTAATATAAAGCCGCTTTACCTATTGTAAGAAGCCAGCTTCATCATTCCCGATGCAATGCAATTTTGTACGATGCCAGAAAGTTGCCTTTAAACGGTCTCGTGGCCAAGGTACTCCACCTAATTTTTATATTAAAGCTACCACGTGCCCTGGGGGTCACCCTCATCTTTTAAGCTGAACAGTGCCACGCCCAGTTTACCCTCATTTTTTCTTAAGTCGCCTTAATTTGCGGCGACTTTCAGGCCCGAAGTAGGCCTTTTCATGATAACCGCTCTATTCTTGTCAGACCAACACTCATTCCATGATAACTGCGCACTGATTTATCAGTACCTATTAACTCCACGAGAGCGTATTCTCGGAGAGGGAAGCATTCTGACTTGCAGTGAGATGCATTTGAACTCGACTTCTATAGAGCA